CTTTCAGTGGTTAGGTAATAATATTTTTTTCACATTTAAAAATCATGCTTGATAGCACATGCGTCATAGCAGTTCTTAATGATTTGAAAGTAGACTTGAGGAATTCTCTTTAAAGTCAATGAATAGGGCTTGGTATATAAGGATAATGAATTATTCACGTACTTCTTGAAACTGATTGTTATTTCTGGAAGTCTCATGCCCATCTCGACATTTTCAAAGATGGAAAAGGATTTTGAAAATGTGTATAGGAGTTCTATCAAGAACCATCAGTAAACTGACTCTTTTGAAATTCTTTAAAGGGAGTATGCTTGAGTTGGATAGAGATAATGATAGAGAGCGCATAAGCTGATCAATAACCTGTTAGCAAGGTGTCAACATACACATTTTCCACACTGTTCAGTCAATTTTTTATCCAATTTCAAATAGCCTAACAACCAATGCCCATTTGGGTAGCATAGTAGTTAGTGTTACCTCATCACATACACAGTCTGGGTTTGATTCCTTGTATTGGTATAATCTGTAATGCAGATGATGGTTAAGATCTGATACTTTTAATAAAAGTTGACTAAAATGGAATTAACTGGTTATATTTAATTAGTCCCCTAGATGTTTGTGTGTTAGTGTTCCCAATCGTTGCAATATATTTCTCACTGTCCAACCCATCTTCCCGAGGCAAGAGAGTTAACTGACTATAAAAGTCCAGTTTCCACCCTTGCTGAACTAGGCTGGTATTATGGAGTTACATTTTGGCTGGACTAACGAGTCTATACATAGTCCAATCAAAATCGAGGACCGAAATCGAAATCCGGTTAGTAAACTGTCGTGCAGATTTCGGTCGATTGCATGATTTGCAAAGCATGTGCACCTCCAACTCGTTGTCAACAGATATTTTCCAAGTCTTTTCACGTTTTCAATCAAGGTGCTCACGTGATTTGATGCACTTCGCGAGGTAAAACCCTTTTTATCACAATATAGATCTTGATTATCGAGCAGATCGTCTTGACACGGCGCCACCATTTTGTTTGAAATAAATGCAAGTGATACGAGAGATGGAATCTGATTGGTCCATAGGAGAGGCTTATAAGGGACATAACTTGTAATAACCACTGGCGGCGCTAAAATCGGGCACAGGAATTCCAGCCTAGTTCGGCAAGGGTCGAAACTGGACCTTTACAGTCAGTTAACTCCCTTGCCTCGGGAAGATGTGTCCAACATATCGGCTAGATTCAGTGAATGTCCTATGGCTGCAGTCTTGGCTCATGCTTTCATTCTGTGAAACTATTCCTTGAAGCAACAGAGTTCCTTGTACTCGAGCATGTAAAATGTGATGAGTATGATTGGTACTTGGATGTGTCGTCATACTGAATAATAGGAACACTTGGGTAGTCTCATGGTTAAAGTGTTCGCTCGTCATGCTGAAGACCTGGGTTTGATTCCCCACATGGGTACAATTTCTGAGCCAATTTCTGGTGTGCACTCCATGATATTGCCGGAATATTGCTTAAAACAATACTCTCACTCACTGACTCACTGACTCACTCACTCACTCACTCACTCACTCACTCACTCACTCACTCACTCACTGACTTGCTTCAAAGGGCGTCATCGTACCCTGACAAAAAAGGATTGTTGCTCATAGCAATCACTGGATTGTCCGGTCCTGACTCAATTGTTGACAGGCTGCTGTCAAATAGGTGAAAAATTTCTGAATGCGGTGTCAAGCAACAAACTACAGCCTGGAATGGTGCTCACACTATCAACCACTGGTTTGTCTATGTTTGCCTACTTAATATTCGCAGTGATGTTAATGGTTTGTTTGTGACTGGCATATTACCGGTACCCATTTCACTCTTACACAACATTATCACTTAATCTTTTTATTCCTAATTTTCTTACAAATTTTTAAACATGACAGATTTCTGCTCCAAGGGGTAATGGCAAGAGTACAGGACTACTGGAGTTTTCTTTCAACTCTACAATAATATTGTTACATAACTATGTTCAAGATTACTGAGACAAAAAATCAAAGGCATCTTAAAACAAGGGCAGCGAGTTTTCAAACAGGCATGTTTAGGAGGGTTGGAATGAAATTATTTTCCTAATCTCTCCAGTTTAAGCCCTGAGGGATTTCTGTAAATCCTGTTAAGAACATATCAAGGATGAGCTTATTCCAGGATATGAAGATAATGAAGTTTAATTTCGCATTTTTTTCATGAGATTGATGGAAGTTTTGTCCCTGATGGGCCAACCATATCTGAAGTAAGAGAAACACGCTTAATATTTGAACAATTTTTATGCCTGAAAGAAACATAATTATAGGGGGATACACCGTTTAATTGTTTTTCAGGCCTAAAAATATACTTTGGATATTACTTTCATAATTTCATGTGAAAACAACATTACATAGATTTCTTTTTAAAAAAGTGAAATAAAAATAAAATATGTACTTAAAAATTTGTGCAATTAAATTTTTAAAATTGTTTGAAAAAGTGAATATATATTAAAGGGACACCTTTTTCTTCCAAACTTGTTTAAGCGAGTACTACTGGTGAATAAAAAACCTGGTTACCCTAATTATTTCGAATAAGTTTTTTGCACCCAGAAAACATGATTGTAAGATTATATGTCATGACCATTCAAGTCTAATTTGTCAGAACTTGCAACAAGCATGTTGTACTACATCCCGTCCTACTCCTGAATCTCCACTGGTTGTTGATACACCAACATCTATGGTTTGAATTAAAAGTGATCCTTCCCTTTCCAAAATCATAAGAAATCTCTGCTGAAAGCAGTCCATTGTACCATTCTGGCTATATCATGAGCATATGTTTGGAAATCACTATCACTGGCACCCATCACAAACACATGCAAAGACAAGTCAATTGTTCAAAATCATGGGAATCCATGGTACCAAAATGAGATAGAATTATATTGCAAATATTTATGGTTAGCCAGTGCATTAGGCTTACACCAGGCTACAAGATATTGTGATAATATTTTCTGGTTAACCAAACCCAAATCATTGAAATAATAGTTACCAGCACCAACTTCATTATACCCAGCTATGAACATAATATAATGTAGAAACATTCTGTTGTATATATCTGTGGAGACTGCACAGTCGGAATGTGTGATAATTACCGTATCCATCCATCACGCCCTCACACCACCTACACCCAACATCTGACGCAGTAACAGGTGTTGTATACTAAGCTAACAATGACTTTTTTTATGGAGTGTTTTCAGATTCACTGGAGCTTCAACTAAATATATTTACAATAAGCAATGACGTTGGTGTTGATGCTTTGTGCTATTACAATTTGTATGTAAAAATCTGCGTATATATCATGTGTAGACATGATCAAGTTTGTTATTATTTTTGTAGTCGTAAATGAACTTGATTCACTGAAGTAAAAACAGGTAGCACCGTTTGCATGTTTTCAATTACCGTGGGAAGGTTGTGTGGGTGGTGATGATTGATTATGAGTGTGTCCATATTGAGGATTTATATAACTTGGTTTATGGAACCGATGGCTCTAGAAAAATGAGTCAAATGATAACTGGAAAGCACTATTTTCTTTATTATGCCAACACATTTAAATGTTCACCATCAAAAATAAAGTGTGCTTTAAATATGTCCAACTTCATCAACACTGCACACAGCAACATTGACTTCATCAACACTGCACACAGCAACTCTGACATCATCAACATAATTATTAAACATTCAAAATATCTTGAGGAACATAAACATCAAAAAATGTCTTTTGCATGTATTTTTACCACTTACCAACCAGGATTTGTCACTCTGAAACCTAATGATAAACCTAAAGAGATTGAAACATGCAGCATAGTAGGAAGACAGTATATGGGATGTCACAGTTCTTGCCATATACTTTGCTCACAATAGACAATTGACAATTTCAGATGAAAGTCCCGACAGGGGCAGTTTTGCCTGCAAGTTGGTTTCCCAGGGAAACTAATCCCACCGTTCACGGTCTTTAAACTGCACTTTTACCAGCAGTAATATGTTCTATATACTGTCACGTATTCATAAATGAATAAGACTCATGTAAGATCCAATGTCTATCGGTTGGACAAGGTCAAATACCTTTAGAAGCAAAAAAAAAATATCCTAATGTTGGATTTCATTTTCAGTCAGAATATCAACTTTTTCCATGTTCACATTCCTACACTGATGCTAGGTAGCAGATGCCTTTGTTTTTAAAGTCTTTGCCACAAAAAGCTTCTCATGACGCCCTCTCTGAGAATTGTATACTTGCTAATGTCTGTGCTGCCTACTAGTTTGGAATTCTGTCTTCTTCTTTTCTTTTTTCTTTTTTTTTTTGGGGGGGGGGGAGATTATTGACTATGCCAGACAAATTATTGAATTACATATTGTATAATGTATTATTGTTTTTGACACTGTTTACAGTATACATATGTCCAGAGATGAGAATCTTAGAATCTTAGTGAATTTTAGTGACCACAAATTTGTTAAAATCGGATGGCTTCCCCATAAACACCCCCACATTATGGACCACAAAGATGTTTCAGCTCAAAAGGAACATATCCATTCTCATCCCTGTATGTCGGAGCTACTTCGTCTTCTGCTAAATCCCAGGTGTGGATAGTAAAGAAATGACTGCACTCATACCATACCAGGTACCAATTTCACATGTCAGAATTCATCCCTGTCTGCAACCCGGGCTCAGGAAATACAAATATGTTTGGTCAAGTTTCTTTAAACAGTATGACACACACTCAATATAATCTCCATATCTTGATAATCGACGTTTGAGAGTCTCTAGATTGATGCAGTCACTGCATATCTTGACGACATATCCACTCATATCTTGGTGTGAATTCAGGTCTTCAGGACGGTAAGAGACTTTATCAGCACAAGATATCACCTATAAAAAGTGCTTCCTGAATGTTAGTGTTTAACTGTTAACATCTTGCTGATACTCATGATAGCTGTATTTGTTGTCATCTTGCAGGTGGTGAGTAAAGTTGCAGCTCAGCCGGGATATGACCTTGACCTTGGCTACAGGTTACTGGCAGTATGTGCGTCACACAAAGAAATGTTTACGCCAAAATCGGCAGGTAGGCAAATGCCGGAGTAGTAGATTAGATACATCTCTAAATATATATTTTGTGCACATATTTTGTTGAGAATAATGTATGATAGCATGGGTCATTGATGTTCTACTGTGCCAATAATAGAAAAGAATATTTCTCTTAAAATCCTTGAAACATTTTTTGCAGTCATTTACTTTTTGAAATCACTATTTTTTATACCTGGAGTTAAATTTGAAGGGTTATGATAATTATGGATACATCCTGCCTTGATTGCCATGATATGTTGGGAAGACAAATATCAGAAGCGATGTGTAGACCCAATTAGTCAGTTTGTCTAACTTGCTTGACGTGCCCAGTACGTATTTCACAGATGAATTACAGTGATTTTGCCAATTTTCTAATCTAGTTCTGTGTTATCAGACCAAAGCACTCTCAGACAATGACAGTTGTTTAAGTGTTTTCTCAATATCTTGGCTATTGCTTTTCACACTGGAATTAAAGCAACGAGGATATTGTGTGGGTTGGCGTGTATAAAATTCAGACAGTGATCTAGATGCTAATACATCTTGAATTATTTCTGTCACAGAAGTATCGTTGGATAGTTAGAAGTATTGGCTTTATTCATGTATTGGTCCTTAGTTTTGCCAAATTGTCCTCTAACTGCTTTCCTCAGGTAAATATCCAATAATTATCAACTTTTAGACAACAAAGGCACTATGACCCATGTGATAGTCAAAAACAAATAGCAGTAGTTGTGATGTTTGTGAGCAATGAGGAGACGTGTGTTTGGGGGAAGTTGTCTAAGGGCCCACAACTAACATTGCAGGGTTGCTTCCCTTTGCTGCTGGATCTACTGGTACTGGGTCCGACTCCCAGATTCACTTTGATAATGATAGCACCACACCAGTAGTCATGGGGCCCATGAAGATCCAGGGTAGAGTAGGTCTTCAGCAACCCATGCTTGCCGTAAAAGGCGACTATGCTTGTCGTAAAAGGCGACTAACGGGATCGGGTGGTCAGGCTCGCTGACTTGGTTGATGCATGTCATCGATCCCAATTGCATGGATCGATGCTCGTGATATTAATCACTGGATTGTCTGGTCCAGACTCGATTATTTACAGACCGCCGTCATATAGCTGGAATATTGCTGAGTGCGGCGTTAAACAACCAACCAACCAACCAACCAACCAACCAACCAACCAACCAACCAGTAGTCATGGGGTTCACAACAGTGGTATGACTAACAACATTTGGGACTTTCCTCCCTATTAAGATGACACACTTTGATATGCAGAGACCCAGATAAGCTGCGTATCTGCGTAAAAAACGCATCAGAAATGCAGAAATACGCAGTAAAATAATAGCCAAGCGTATCAAATACGCAACGAACATTACAGATACGCTACAAAAAATAAAACTTGTGCGTATATTCAAAATATTGTGAAGTAACCCTGCGTATTCGATTGGCAAATCAGCAACTTATTTTGAAATTATAAACGGGCATTCCGTCAACCTTGCCAAACTCCACGATGACAGTTACATCATGATCATTTGCCATCACACTTGTGGAAGTATCGTGGTATTTTTGAGTCCTATAAAGCTCTCGAACCCACACAACACCAGTTTGCAGGGACTAGATGAATAGTGTTTTTAAATATTTAACTTAAATACCCACGTGTAAAAACTAGTGGGTAACAGAAATTTGAATACCCAGATAAAATTACTGATACGCAGTGATTTTAAAATGCATGGGTAAAATACCCACAACACCAAAAGCTTATCTGGAGCTCTGGATATGATCAAAATATTGTGGTATTTCTCCTCCCTCACTCCCCCTTGCCATGATGGTCAGTTCCAGACATGCCCATAACAACTCTCCATGAGCACAAGAGAAAAACAAAAGCAAAATTGTGTAAATGTACTCGAACAGATGTGACCAAAATCCTCTTGGAGAGATAATGTTATTAAGAAAACTTGCAATTAATATCTCCCAAGACTTATTTCTGAAGTAATATATAGGGGCAATGGGTATTTACAGCTTTTTCACTACTAATGTTTTAACATATCAAATTGTTTCGGTTGATCACATTCCGGAAACTATGAGCGATTGAATAAGATGTTTTTCTGTGTTTTTCACAAGTTTTGAATAAGCTGTATATGGCTGTCAGAGAAGAGACAAAAACTAGCAGTGTCAAGATAGTAAATAACTTGGCTTCCCTTCCTGCTCATCCTCTTGTTAAAGATCAAAGGAAGTAAGTCTATTTGTATTTTCTAATTAATCTTAAAATGACAGAAGCTTTCAGATATTTCAATCCCGAACTCAGCTGTGAATAGGCTCTAAGTCAGACCTAACAACCCTGATTGCAGTTATGATGGAAACGCGGTAACGTGCACAAGCTTTTAAAAAGTTTCAAGCTTTTCGAATCAATAATCCATTATACCAAAGATTGTGATTTTCAGGTCTCTGATTAGTTTTGGGAGGGAAAAAAAAGAAGATGTCTTTTTCAGCCAGTACAATAGAAGTGATTTTCTCAGTCAATGACGACAGTGTTTAGATCAAGACACTCAGCTGATATATATTGATCAGGGGGGTTCTTTCGAAATTGATTTTCATGGAATGCTAACTCATTCTACTCAATTGTCAAGTCATTGATCCATCAGTGTGGTAATGCTTTCCTAACGAAATGTATTTTCATCGAGAGACTTGATGCAATCGATGTCAACTGTACTGTTTTCCTGCCTAGAAAGTCGGTAGAAGATCCGTAGCTTGTGGGGACGTGTGGAGGGAAAAATATTTTCTCTGACTTTACAACACCTGCTTTTGTCACCGTTACATATACGTGTGTAGATTACGTGTAGATTTCAGTTGTGTGACATGTGTGTCTTGTCTCTGTTGGCCAAGGAACAAAGGTTTTAGGACTCAACAGAAGTTTAACTGATTTTGTGATATGTTATTTTTGAATTTGTAATATTTTTCATTCTCGACATACGTGCCATACTTTCCTTATCATGTCATGTATATCATTTTATTTTTAAAAATTATATATTTTAAAAAATTATTTATGGTAAATATTAACTTTTTTTTAACTTTTCTACATGCATTGCTTACAACATTTAATCTGAGGCATTAATGTTAACATTCTTTTATGAAAATAATTTATGCTGGGTTCATGAGCTATGAATAGTAAAGTCGCTATTACAGTACAGAGATCGATGGAAAAGAATAGAAATTCATAAAAAAATTATGTCATTTAAGTAACATTGATTTACAACAATGAAAAATCAATTGCTTTCAAGACTGCCAACGGACCTCCTGTTTCAAAAATATCTTTGATTTTTAACTGATTATCATGGTTAACAAACAGTTTCATATTTGTTGAGGCGTGTAAATGGCTTCTGTTTGTTGAAGGGCATGTGATGCCTCTATTCCGCGAAATCAGCTTTTACCTCATGATATTAGCCACAGTGGAGTAACGAACTTCAAAAAATAATTTCATGGAATACTGCCATTTTTCGTGTTGATTTTCTGTTCTTCTCGTAAATCAATTATTCATGGCGTTCCCCATTATGATCCGTCTATTTGGGATGGGAATCTGTCACATGCGTGGCCATAATTACATTACCTCTAATGGCTTGGAAAGTTTTCATTGAATTTTACTTAGCATCACCTTTTTGGAGCCTTTGGATAAACAGAAGTCAGAGATTTTCAGCTCTTTAGCTATTCTCTTCTCCATTGAACATTTTTTATATAGGAGGTCACATACTGTGTCCTTGAGATCAGTTATGATATACTGCAAACCGTCCATGATTCATCCAAGTCTCGATCAAAATGGCTAATGTATTAAGTTATGGTCTATGGTGAGTTGCAATACATGTACATGTATCTTCAAGAAAAATAAATACAAATTTTTGTAAATTTTCACTTGCTATTTCCACTGAATGTATGTCTAGGAAAATTAGATATATTGTTTAAACTTAGTTATGAAATTTTACTTTTGACTTAATTTTGTAATTATCTTTTCTGTTTGCAGGTGATAAGGTGCATATTTTAGTTTATCATTTATTGCCAGCACTTCCTAATATTTCACATTGTTCAAGTTTTTATAATTTATTCTTGCATTTGCATTAACAAATCATTTTATGGTTTCAAAAAGATTAATTTAATTAAATGGGTTTTTTTATATGCATGTTATTTGACTAACATGTTTATTTTCACAAACAGATGTGTTGTTTTTTAATCTTTACTGATAATGGAAGTATTTTATCTTGGAAAATGTTAGATACTAGATTTACATTTTTGAATAAAATTTTAAGAATGTGTTATACATTACCTGGTAATGGTACCTGGTATAAAATCTGATCACATTATACCTGGTATAAAATCTGATCACATTAAACCTGGTATATAATCTGATCACATTATACCTAGTATAAAATCTGATCACATTATACCTGGTAATATAATCTGATCACATTATACCTGGTATGAAATCTGATCACTTTATACCTGGAATAAAATCTGATCACATTATACCTGGTATAAAATCTGATCACATTACACCTGGTATAAAATCTGAGTGAGTGAGTGAGTGAGTATGGTTTTACGCCGCTTTTAGCAATATTCCAGCAACATCACAGTGGGGGACACCAGAAATGGGCTTCACACATTGTACCCATGTCGGGAATCGAACCCGGGTCTTCAGCGTGACGAGCGAACGCTTTAACCACTAGGCTACCCGACCGCCCTATAAAATCTGATCACATTATACCTGGTATAAAATCTGATCACATTATACCTGGTATAAAATCTGATCACTTTATACCTGGTATAAAATCTGATCACATTATACCTGGTACATAATCTGATCACATTATACCTGGTATGAAATCTGATCACATTATACCTGGTATAAAATCTGATCACATTATTCCTGGTATATGCAGTAAGGTATGTACTCTTTGCACTGTTGATATGCTTTCCACATAATAATCATATAGCTTTGTGAAAACTGTAACATAGTGG